CTACTTATAAGTGAGTATATACTATATTTGTCTTTCTGGATCTGGGCTACTTCACCCAGGATGATTTTTTTTCTAATGCCACCCATGCAAATTTCACGATGCCATTGTTTTTGACAGCTAAGTAATATTCCATTGTGTAAATGTACCACATTTTCTTTATCCATTCTTTGGATGAGGACATCTAGGTGGTTTACAGTTTCTGATTATAATGAAAAAGAGTTGCTATAACATAGTTGAGCAAGTCTCCTTGTGATATGGTAGAACATCCTTTGAAAATATGCCCAATGATGTTACAGCTGGGTTTTGAGGTAGATCAATTCCCAATTTTCTGAGAAACTGCCGAATTAATTTTCCAAAGTGGCTGGACAAGTATGCATTTCCAATAGCAATAGAGGAGTGTTCCCTTTGTTCCACATCCTCACCAGCATGTGCTGTCAGTTCTGTCTTTGATCTTGGACATTCTGATAGGTAAAAGATAGGATTTCAGTGTCATTTTGATTTGCATTTCCCTAATAGCTAAGGATGTTGAAGATTTCTTTAAGTGCTTCTCAGCCATTAGAAATTCCTCTGTTGAGAAGTCTCTGTTTGGATATGTAATTTTTAGCTGGATTCTTTGATTTGTTGGTGTTTAGTATCTTGAGTTCTTTATATATTTTGAATATCAGCCCTCTGTCAGATGTGAAGTTGGTGAAGATCTTTTCTCATTCTGTAGGCTTCCTTTTTGTCCTTTTGATAGTGTCCTTTGCCTTGCAAATGATTTTTAGTTTCATGAAGTCCATTTATTACTTATTGATCTTAGTGCCTGAGGTATTGGTATTCTGTTCAGGAAGTTGCTTCCTGTGTTAATGCTTTTAAGGATATTCCCCCACTTTCTCTTCTAGCAGGTTTAGTATGTCTGGTTTTATATTGACATCTTTGTTCCACTTGGATTTGAGTTTTGTGCAGGGTGATAGATATGGTTCTATTTGCATTTTTTTACACATGCAGATATCTAGTTTGTCTAGCACCATTTGTTAAAGATGCTTTCTTTTTTCCATTGTATATTTCTGGCTTTTTAAACAAACAAACAACAACAACAACAGGTGCCCATGGGTGTGTGGATTTACTTCTAGGTATTAGATTCAGTTCCGTGGATCAAACTTTCTGATTTTATGCTGATACCATGTGGTTTTTATTACTGTTGCTGTGTAGCACAATTTGAAATCAGGGTTGGTGATACTTCTAGAAATTCTTTGGTTGTGCCGGATTGTTTTAGAGATCCTGGACATTTTGTTTTTCCATATGAAGTTGAGTTTTGTTCTTTTCAGATCTATAAAGAATTGTGTTGGAAGCTGGGTGTGAAGGCACAAGCATGTATCCCACCACTCAAGGAGGCAGAGGCAGGTGAATCTCTTGAGTTTGAGGCTAGCCTAGTCTACAAAGCAAGTACAGGACAACCAAGACAACACAGGGAAATTGTGTTAGAATTTTGATAGGAATTGTGTTGAATCTGTAGATTGCTTTGGGTAAGATGGCCATTTTCACTATGCTAATCCTGCCGTTCTATCAGCATGGGAGATCTTTCCATCCTTTTGTATCTTTTTCAAGTTCTTTATAGACTTGAAGTTCTTGTCACTTGCTTGGCTAGAGTTAGACCAAGATGTTTTATATTAGTTGTGGCTATTGAGAAGAGTGTTATTTCCATGATATTTTTCTCAGCACACCGATAAAAAGTCAGTAAAATGATTCCTAATGATATTTTGCTACACCCATAGAATAGTGTCAATTCCAGTTGTCACCAGAGAGGCTTTCTCTGGCAGTTGTGGGTATAGGTGCAGAAACCTACACCAAAACACTAGGTGAAGTTGAAACCAATTGAAGAGGGAGAGGAAGGATACTAAGAGCCAGAGGGGTTGAGATCACTAGAAGATGGCTCACAGAATCAACTAAGCAGGGCTCATATGGGCTCACTGTTGGGGGTTGGTCTGATGCTTGTATTTTGATGCTAATTACTGGCCCTGAAGACCTGGTTACTGCTCAGATCAGATTCACCTATCCTTGTTGTGTTAACCTGCCTAAGACATTATTCCTAAAAGGTTAATCTAAAAAAATGCCTGTACCTGGGCAGGGAATACCACAACACCACAATGGGTTAGGATGGAGAAGGACCACATGGGACAGCAGAAAGGACTCTGAGGATTGTGTGGACAAAGAAAACTTCAAGATTAAAAATATATATAAGCAAGTATTTTTAAGGTTATGGGTGGAAGATAGCCCAGATAGGAATAGTTAAGGCAGATGGATGGGGAGATTATTAAGATAGCGTAGGTGGAAATACTTCCCCAGTCCAAGGTAAATAAGGCAATTATAAAATCTAACAGGGGTTTATATCATATTAATTGTGACAGTAATACCACCATAATAATTATAGGGCTAACAATAAACATTATGTAGGTAGTCTGACACCAATTTAATTTTCAACAACAGCTCACAGACACTGAAATGACAATCATGGAATCTACATACATATGTGCTAGGTCTTCTGCATATATGTTATGGATGTTTAGCTTGACAAAGTCTTAGCTAATCTGAAGAAATGAAAGATGGAGGAATTACAAATAAATAAAATTAGAGTTCAAAAGGATTTCATTACAATGGACTATGATGAAATGCAGAACATAATTAATTTCTATGAAAAATAATATTTGAAAAGCTGGATAACCCAGAAGAAACAGAAAAAAAATCTAAATGGAACCATCTACCAAAATTAAGCCCTGATGAAGTAAATAACTTAAACAGATCCATTATAAACAATAAAACTGAAGCTGTTAATAAAAGCCTCCTCTCAAAGAAAAGCCCATTTGGATTCACTAATGAATTTTACCAAAGTTTCAAGGAAGACTTTATACTAATTAAGAATCCTGTGGAAATAGTCCCTGTTTCCCTTACTATGGGAAACCAATTGGTTACTGAGCTACCACAGGCTACATCGGAACAGAGTATCTAAGTTATATCCATACAGGGTCCTTGGTAGAGTTTCAGTCTCAGAAAAGACCCCTGTGCAATGGCAGGCTCTTTGACCTCCCCACCCCCAAGGGAAGAGCAGTCCTACTAGGCCACAGAGGAGGACTTTGCAGCCATTCCTGAAGATACCTGATAAAACAGGGTCAAATGAAAGGGGAGGAGGTCCTCCCCAATCAGTGTACTTGGAAAGGGGCAGGGAGGAGATGAGGGAGGGAGGGTGGGATTGGGAGGGAATGGGGAAGTGGGATACAGCTGGGATACAGAGTTAATAAAATGTAACTAATAATAAAAATTTTAAAAATAAAAAAAAACTAAAAAAAAAAAAAAAAAAAAAGAAGAATCCTATGGAGCCAGGCATAGTTGTGTACTCCTTTAATCCTAGCACTTGGGAGGCACAGGCAAGCAGATCTTTGTGAGTTTGAGGCCAGCCTGGTCTGCAAAGCAAGTCCAGGACAGCGAGGGCTATTACACTGAGAAAACCTGTCTAAAAAACAAAACAAAACAAAAAAATCTTGTGGAAAAGGGTGAATAAGTTTTGAAGGAGGAGCTAGGTGGGTCAAGTGCATACACAAGAAAACCTACAAAATCAACTAACCTAGACCCATAGGGGCTCACAGAGGCTGAACCACCAGCCCGAGAGCATGCATGAGATGTTGGCTCTCTGCATATATGTGACAGTTGTGCAGCTTGGTCTTCATGTGGGACTCCTAACAGCAGAAGCAGGAGCTGTCTCTAGAAGTGTGGCCTGCCTTTGTGTCTCTTTTTCTTAACTGGGCTGCCTTGTCTAGGCTCAATAGGAAAAGATCCACCTAGTCTTCCTGCAACCTGATATGCCAAGCAGGGTTGATGTTCATGGGAGGCCTCCCCTTTTCTGAGGAGAAGGGGAAGAGGAATACATGAGGGATGTGAGATAAAAGGAGGGACTTAGAGCAGAGGAGGGAGGGGAAACTATGATTGGGATATAAAGTAAGTAAATAAATAATAATAGTAATAATAAAAGAATAATTTGTTCTACAGAACAAAATGAGTGAACCAAAATTAATTTTATGTAGCCATTATCATCCTGATACCCAAATGAGGTGAAGACAGTACAAAAAAGAGAAAGCTACAGCCTAATTTCTTTGATGAAAATAGATGTAATATTCTCAACAAAATATTTACAAACTGAATTTAGAAACACAGTAATAAGATTATACATTATGACCAGGAAGGCTTTTTCCCACCCAAAATAGCAACTCTTCTTTAACTTATGTAAATTAATAGATGTAGCGTATCATAAAAATACTTATGCACAGAAACCACATAGTCATTTCAAATGAGGCTGAAAAGGCATTTGACAAAGACATAAATACATCATGATAAAAATTTATGTGAGGATTAGGTGAGTCAATATATCACTCTGTATCAAAAGCTGGCCTGCTATTCACTGTACTTCACAGGCTGGTCTTGAACTCATGGCAATCTATCTTCCTTGCTCAGTGTGCCAAGCATTGGGATTGCACATATTAGATGCCACTCCCAGCTTCTGGACATGACAGTGCTGCTGCACACATTAATGCAGAGCAGTGTGGCAAAGCCCAGCTAAAACTTCCAGAACAGATGGGAAAGAGGTTCCTGAGGCCCCACCCATAGCTGGGGAGCTGCAGTAGACAGATGCTGGGAGGGGAGAGAGAATCACTTTTGTTGTGCTATGAACACTCATACCAAATGTGCATATGGTAATGCTAATTTGACTCATTGGGTTAGAAAATAAATCAATAAATTTAGAAGAAGGACATGAAGTTAGGAGGAGATGTGTTACAGGGTCCTGGGAAAAGTTGGAAGGGCAGGGAATAAGTGTGGATATAAATAAGACACATCGTATACATTTATAGAAATGAAAAAGAATAAAGAATATTAATTTGATAAAAGACTTGTTAATATTTATTACTGATTAGAGTATTATGCCTATTATAATTAATTCAGTTTTCCTGTGTTTGGAATTTTGACTGTGGTTTTCAGCACTTAAAGATTACAGAACAAGGGTCCTTCGGATCTCTAAAAATCAACAGTAAAGGAGAAATGGTGGGGAAGCCTGCAGTAAAAACTTCACCTACATGTCTCAACCAGAGACGAGAATTCACATAAGAAACGTGAAGGTAAATGTAAATACAATCTAGAACATAGAAGCTCACAAACATGGCCACCAGCATCAAGATGGTGTGGGCTGCTCTACTCTCAGGTGCCGCTCTCTGGTCTTCACTGCAGGTGTGAATGTGGTGCAGTTTCTGGTGGTGTCTGTGCAGGAGAATCACCATGGAGACACTGGTCCAGACCATGATGCTGATGAACATGGCATGATGGGCAGACTGCAAGATGATGATGCCTAAACTGAAACCAGATGTAGAGCAGGCCCACTTTCTTTTATAGTCCTTGCTTATGTTCTGCGGACCACTGACTGTCATTGGAACATAGACATTATTTAAAAGACTGAAGAACCAGCAACCATAACATGAAAATTTCAGAACCTTGGGGGCTCTTCCTCTGAGAATCACCCTTCCATACTTACCAGGAACAAGAGTGACATACTGATACGTGCTTAGAACACAGGTGGAGCACAAGTTTGTGCTTCGGACTACCATTCTAGTGTAATACTCCCATTTGCATTTGAGGTCAGTCTGAGGCTTCCTTGGAACAAAAAACATATTGTTTGGAAATGCAGTGATGAGAAGAATCAAGGCATTGGCCACAGCCATGAAGGTGAGAACCACTTGTGTGGGCCTCTGTGGAGAGCCAGTTAAGACAGGAGAGAAATTATGCACAAATAGAAGGATGTTGGCCGCAGTCCCAATCCCAACCAGGCAAAGCAAGAGGATCTGAAGAGCCACTTCCTCGGTAGTTGCCAGGGCATCATTCTGAGGAAACATGGAGAAGGCTTCAGTGGACACTGCAGTGATGATCAAATGGGACAGCACTCCAATGGATACTCAAATGTCTGAGCTTATAAATTGATTTAAAGGATTTTATTCTTCTGAGATATTAAATCAGATGCTGTATCATAGGCACTTAACCAAGCAAACACTACATGGATATTAACACAGAATATGGTTTATACTTCCTATATAACCTCTAACTTCAAAATGTGACTGTTAGAAATAAATGTTGGCCAGCAACAACCTGACATGCTTTTGAACATAACATGTGCTTTAATGGACAGTGACTTGTTCCACCATTATAGTTTATTTCCATGCTACTTTTTATGTTATAATAGTATGTTAAGGAAACGCAAGTACATGTTTCTTACAAAATTAGTTACTGAGTTAAGCAACAATAGAATATTGTGTTGTCTATTGAGACAGTTTCACACGATTCTTCAGCATTACAGAATCTGATGTGTTTCTGAAAAAGTCACTAGTGCTCTGATCACACAGATAGAGCAAGGATTACATGTATATCCTCTTCTAAATGTAAAAAAAAATCTCCAACAACCAGAGTTTCAGTTATTATAATTTTCTGTATCTTAACTGTTTTATCAAGGAGTCAAGAGATTTTCCTGAAGTAATCTCTAGCTTCCCCTGACCATATTCAAATTATAGTCACTGTATTATTAAACCCTCTGCACAGATATTATTTCAAGACTAGATTTTTGAGTGCCTCGGTTTAGTCTGAATCTTTACTTGGGTCTACCTAGGAGAACCACGTTTCAGCCAGCAGGTAATAATCTGCCACCTGCACAAAGATGTCACATCAGTGCCATGTCACCTGGCACTGATGTGTCAATCAGTGAGACAGAAAGTTCCTTGAGATAACACACAAACATTTAACTATTTTTATTAAACTGTAGAGACTTTCAGAAGTAACAATTACTGCTGTTGGCCTCAAAAACACCATGAGTTCCAGGAGGGAGAAGTGAGTTTTAATAAAAGACTATTTAAGCGCTAGAATTCTATCTGCTCAGCCACTGCAAGGAGACACTGCTTACAGGAAATGGAAGCTAACACCAGAAAACAATCAGTGCAGAAGGAAAGTTCTGACTCCTCCTAGACAGAAGACCCCATGTGTCTATTTCCATGAAAAAGAATGAAAGAAAGTACACACCTGGTCCATTTTCTTCTCGAGTTTGGTTCAGGCCATTCTCATCACAGGTGAGCCCAGAATGCTGGGACTCATAAAAGGGCAGTGTATCTGCAGATAATACTCCCCCCCAGAGTGCCCATTAACATGCCATGCCATGCCAATAACAATGGAGAGTTCGGTACACCTCCAGTGAATTTTATCCCCACAGCAAATCACTCTGAGAAACTTCTAGTAGTTAATGCTGTTTGGCAGTTTGATCTTAATGAACAGCTGAGCAAAGGCTAGCAAAGTTTTGCATGCTTCCTTTGAGATATTCTAAATTCTGCTTTGATGTTATAATCAGAAGTGGGAACTTGGATTAAGGATTCATTTAGTGTATAAATTCCAGCTGGCCACTTTTAGTAACTTTTCAGTGAATTACATTGACTTGCACATTTCCTTTGTTTGGGTCTGTACATGTTGATAAATTTCACTTTCTTTGTGTATACACTTATCAAAGGGAATAACAAAATGTGACAATAAAACAAGATGTTGGATACTGCTTTGTTGTAGAGCATGATGGCATCAATGACTCACTCTGTACAGCATTGGTGGCATGCCATGAAGTCTTCTTTTCTGTGCTCATCACCTGGTCCTGTGGCTTCATGATTGTCATTCTGTACAGACCCAATCAGAGGCTTCAACACATCCACGGCACTCATGATTCCAGCAGAAATTTCCTTAGTGCAGAGCTACCAGAACATGCTGGCCATAGTGGTTAACTTTCTGGCTTTTATACTCTCTACTCCATCTTTTTTTCTCTTTAATTAATTTATGCATTCACTTTACATACCTATTGCAGCCCTTCCCTCCTCTCCTCTCAGTACCACCCTCTGCCCCCTTCCCTCCCTTTATTCCCAGAGAAGGGAGCCCCCTCCTGACCCACTCACCCCCACCCCTGTGCCACCCCACCTCACCACTTCAGATTGCATCAGGACAAAGCATGTCCTCTTTCACTGAGGCCAGACAAATCTGCCCAGCTAGGGGAAAGTGATCCAATAGCAGGAACTGGGTCTGTGTCAGGGACAGACTCCATTCCAGTTTCAAAGTGACCCACATGAAGGCCAAGATGTCTATCAGTTCCATAAGTGTAGGGGATGTAGGCCCAGTCCATGCATGCACTTGGTTTGGTGGGTCAGCTTCTGTGAGCCCCCACAGGCTTAGGTTCATTCTCTATGTTGGTCTTCTTGTGGAGTTCTTGTCTCATTTGGGTCCTTCTATACTTCTTTTAATTTTCCCACAAAATTCTCAAATGTCCATCTCATGTTTGGCTGTGGGTCTCACAGGGATAGAGTTTGAGGAAATGGGCAACCAATGACTGGCCCAACTTGAGACCCACCCATGTGAGAGAACCAGCCCTGGTCACTGTTGAGGCCTGGTCATTCTGGCACAAATATAGCCATTTTTGTTTCAGGCCCACCAGCCACATCATCTCAACTTGTTGCTGACATAAAAGAATCTCTGTACAAGGTCAGGTTGACAAAAGAAACTATGTTTATGTTCAGCATACTCTGCGGCCTTGTTCCTAGAAATTCCCCAACCATAAGCACAGCTGGCTCTACCCATGCACTTTACTTGGGACCAATCAAATTAAAGGTCAGCTAGAACTGCTTGTCTAGTTAGCAAAATAACTTGAGTCAGAACTGACTACCCTGTACCACCAACTGCCCCCCTGTATGACCTAATTGTGGTTTTTGCCTTTATAACCTGACCCTGGAAAATAGGTTGATGTCACAGTTAGGCCCCCAAGTCCTTCTGTGCCCTGACTGCAATCAGCTTGGAAAAGGTTTCCAATAATACATCCATATCTGAGACCAGGGACTGAGTGGTTTGTGTGGCTATTCTTATACTGTAACTGTCACTATTAGGTGGGATTGGGAGGGAATGAAGGAAGGGGCTACAGCTGGGATACAAAGTGAATAAACTCTAATTAATATAAAAAATAAAAATAAATTAAAAAAAATAAAATACAGTCACTATTAATGCTACTCTGCTATGCTTACAGACATGAGCCAAGCTACCTGTACCCTGAGAGGCTCCATCTAGCAGCAGATCTCCCCTCCGTCTTAAGAGACGGCCTTACTTGTTATCATAAACACAGTTGGTGAACTGTGAACATCAGTCACCTCATTTCCCTCTCTTGGGCCCTTTGTTCTTATGAGTCATTACTCTGTTATGCCCAAACTCAGTTTGGTATCCATATGTATAATCTCTTCATCTTATTTTAAGTATTTTAATGATATATTTCACTTGATATCCAGCTTTTTACCCACAGATCACCCTCAAAAGGTCATACGGAAAGGAAAGGAGGTAGTACCTTGTCTTTTTAAGATTAGCAAAACTGAGTATAGGAGATTTGTCAATTGGTTGGATCAGCCACCTACATGAACCAATCATATTATATGTAAGGCCCCTTGCACTCTTCAACTTGCAGCTTGAGAGTCTTCCTTAAGGAACCAACAAAAACAAAACAAAACACAACAAAATCTGTCAATAAAACTGCACCCTTTAGTAATTTTCATCCCGTTAGGGAATCTTGGCTTCTTGGGGATTTCATAGGCAGCTTCTGGGCCCTACATTTTCACTGCGCTAAAAACTAAT